AGAAATTTTTGAAACATCTATTTTCATAACCAGACGTCCGAATCACGTCCAACCAACTCTGTTTCTCACCAAATTTGACAGACAAGTCATAAATGTAGTATTAGACCTATATCGGGTTCCGACTCGATATCCAAAAAGTCAACCATTGGTCAAACAATTCAAATTCATTAAGCCTTTAACTTTCAAATTTCAACAAAGTCCGATAACCCGGGTTAGGGAGTTCTGAATTTGATTCCGAGCATACGCCCAAGCCTCAAATTACGATACGGACCCACTAGGACCATCAAAATGAATTCGGGTCCGTTTGCTCAAAACGGTGATCAAAGTCAACTCAAATGGATTTTAAGGAAAAAAACTCATATTTTCTCAATTTTTAACATAAAATCTTTTTGGAGACACGCTCGGACGACGCACGCAAATCGAAGAGGGATAAAATATGGTATTAATGGCTTCAAAGCGTAGAATTAGGTTCAAAAATATAAGATGACCTATCCGGTCATCACACCAGAGTTGGAGAAGCTTGTAATAATAATCGGAAACTTTGCTCAGGCACATAAGGGTGACATAGGAAAGACCGCCTGCATTAGGGGGATGCGCTTGAAATCTAAGCCGAAAGTATGGGATTCTAAAGCTCGTCTTGGTGCCATGCAAATGCAGCATGATGGCAGCAAGAAAAGTTGGATGGACATAGTTGAAGAGGATAACGAGTTACAAAGTGATGGCACGCTATCAGACATAGACAATGCACCAAGCAGAGGGGTCAAGCTTGCTAGCAAGTCTGGGACCACGGAGGTTAGCCAAATACGGAGTGAAAGCATATACCTGATGCTTGAGAAGCTGCTAGACTTGGTTGAGTCATGGGGAGATTCAGGACAAGAGCAAGGACAGGTATCCAATGGGTGGAGGATCGGGGCCATCATTGCTAGCCGTTCAATATAAAAACAGGGCAAGAAGAAAAGTGACCAATACCTTAGGATCGAGGCCATCATTGCTAGTCGTCCATAGAGCATCATGGCTAATAGACAAAGATCTCCAGCGATGCCGAGGTGAGGTGCGAGCGTACGTGTCTAAGCTTTGTACCGAGAGCGGCACAAAATTAGGTGGGGGAGAGTGTCATGACCCGCCATGTCATCATGCCACGTAGGTGCCATTTGGCATATATTAATGCTATATGGAAAGCTTACGTATGAAATAGACTAGCATATGTGGGAAGGTTCTACAAAAGTATAGAGATTTCTCATGGAAGACCTTAGAACCCTATGGAATTGCTAAGAAAGTCCTTTGAAGATTCTAACTATGTAGAAAGTTCTAGAGAAAAGACTTACTTATAGATAATAAAGGATAATATTTATTTACTCCCTAGCCCCTAGGAGACTAGTATATAAAGAGAGCTATTTATTTGTAAATCACCAAGCAAAACAATCAAGTTCTCTCTAATATAAAAATTTTCTTTTGGCAATTCTCTTGTTACAAATCAAAATCAAAGCAATTTGAGAAAATGTTTGGAACAAGCTCTATAAGAGAGAAGACTGGAACCTTCCATTCAAGTGAGAGAAAATGTGACAAAATGAGTCTTCTCGCCAAAATGAAATGTTGACTAGCTATTTATACTAAATACAAACTTGAAGGCTATCTCTACAAAGTGACTATATGTGCAAGAATAAATAATGCTATTGAAGAAGTCTTCAAGGTGGGTCAGATTTGATGTATTGGGCTGAGTCATGTATTTGGGCCTCTGTACCAAGAACCTGGGCTTCAACACCCCCCCCCCCCCCCCTCCGCAAGTTGGAATGGGCCACCAGTCCGAGCTTGGAAAGAAAAGTAGTATGTGAAACACCTGACAAAACCTTAGTGAAAACATCAGCTAATTGAGCAGCAGAAGAAATAACATGCAAAGCAATAAGTCCTGAAGCAAGCTGCTCACGCACAAAATGGCAATCGATCTCAATATGTTTGGTGCGCTCATGAGACACCAGATTTTTAGCAATGTGGATGGCAGAGTGATTATCACAGAATACTGAAACAGAGGATAAAGAAGATATCCCAAACTTACTAAGAAGCCAAACCACCAAAACAATTTCAGCAACAACCTGACGCAAGGCCCTATACTCAGCCTCAGCGGAAGAAAGGGCAATAATAGCCTGTTTCTTGGACTTTCAGGAGATAGGAAAGCCCCCTAATAATAGTATATAGCCACTCACAGACCTCCGGGATGTGGACCAACTTGCCCAATCGGAATCACAAAACCCAACCAAATTAAAAGTAGAGGAATTGTTAAAGAGCAAACCCAAATGAGAAGTGCCCACTAAGCTCTGATACCATGTTACAAATCAAAATCAAAGCAATTTGAGAAAATGTTTGGAACAATTTCTACAAGAGAGAAGACTGGAACCTTCCATTCAATTGAGAGAAAATGTGACAAAATGAGTCTTTTGGCCAAAATGAAATGTTGACTAGCTATTTATACTAAATACAAAATTGAAGGCTATCTCTACAAAGTGACTATATGTGCAAGAATAAATAATGCTACTGAAGAAGTCTTCAAGGTGGGTCAGATGTGATGTATTGGGCTGAGTCGTGTTTGGGCCTCTATACCAAGAACCTGGGCTTCAACATCTCTTGTGTTCTAACATTCCCTTAGTGATCTTTAGTGTAGTAAGACCGACTTAGCATAGCAAGAATATGAGCAAATTGTGCAAGATCGTGAGCCAATTGTCAAGTGCCGCACGTGTACTTAGTTTAGGTCTAAGGACATGACATGTAACGGCTATATTAGTTTGATATCAAATTTGTCATATTGTCCCATCTAAGTTCACTCAAATATTGCTTATATAAATAGTAAGCAGTATTTTGTCAACATCAATGGCCATAATATTGACGTGTCTTCTAAGTGGCCGCAGACACACCTGCTTATTTCACCGTCACGCATGCAATTTACGACATTTGATATCTCTTTCATTTTTTCGGCTTTACTTGTGATAGCCTAAGGGCCCGTTTGGCTATTACAAAGTTTCACTTTTTTTTTTACTTTTTTACAGGGGCAGATCTACGTTGTGGAGAGGAGGTGGTACGCCATCCGATCGCTCGGGTAGAATTTCATGTATCCACAGATATATTACTAATATTTCACGTAAAAAAGATAGATAAATAAGTAATGGCACCCCAATAATAAAATTGTTATAGGTGTCGTGGTCAAAGTATCCCTTGCCAGGCCCAACACCCAAGATCGAGCCTCATTTTGCTCATATATTGTAGAATTGATTTTGCTGTTACTGTGTTACCTCTTTACAGAATACTTTTTTTCTTCTCTTTTTCTTAATTTCTTTTATTTTCATTTTTGTATTTTCTCTCTATGTACAATTCCATTTTCATTAGTTATTTATTAAAAAATTATATTTGCTTATATTCTTTTGTTTTATATTTCAAATTCTTTTTTTTAAATATGCTTTTAATCATTTTTTAAATCTGGTTAGTATTATATTTTCTTTGAAAGGATCAAATATATTCAGTTTGGTTATCATATGTTTATTTATGCACCAAAAGATCTTGTAAAGTAAACCAAATTAATTCAAAATGGATCGAACCGAACTAATTTAATTTAAAATAGAGCGAACCGACCAAATGCATGTATACCCGAATTCAACCTCCTTAACTACTGGTTACTGAACATTAAGTGCAGTGGCACCCGCAATCATTAAATCCTGGATCCGCCTCTGCTTTTTTAGAATTAGTGTTGGCCATCAAAATTTTAAATTTCTATTGAAGTTGATTTTTACAATTTTTCGAAAATTTAAAAAACTCCAAAAAACTGTTTCACTTCAAATCACTCATAAAAATTAAAAAATAACTCTAAACTGTATTCATGTCCAAACAAACTCTAATTTTTAAAATACGATTTTCAATTAATTTTTTTGTTTTATACTTTTTTCCGGAACACAATTCTTATGTCATTTTGCTTTGCGGAATTGCCGTGGGGACCAAAAATTTCTCAAACTCAATTGCGTACTCACGTTTGGGTATGTAACTTAATCTTGGGAGTATAGCGACAAATAGTTTATTCATAATAATTGAAATTAATAACAACTAAGGCCGATAAATTGCTAGCAAGTTAAAACTTAAAAGACATTGATAATGCACAATTTATCAGCTTACATAATAAATTAAATAATGATAATTGCCATTCACGTTGTGATGAATAGACAAGAATTCGAATACATTTGCCTCCTGTTGAGCATCGGGACAAATTACTGTCGTTTTTTGTCTTTTTCATTCATGGGCGGAGACCAATTGGCAGTACTCTGTTTTGAGAAGGAACGGAAAATAATATTGTATAGCCGCTTTTAAAATAATAGTGGAAAATTATGTATATTTTTATATATATTTTGTATATTATATACAAAAAATATATAAATTTTATACACTTTTTAGCTCCCGAATATAAATAATTTCGGCCGCGAACTAAAATCGATCTTTCCTCATTTAAAAATTCAACTAGATCTTTCAAGTATAAACATTATTCCTTTCATGACTGTCTCGCAAGACAATCAGATAGATGTACCTAACCATTGTGTGTTTGCCTTGTTAGCTTAAAAATAGAGTTTAGCTTTTATACACTAACAAACTTTCGACATTATCGACAGGCGTACCACTACATTTATAACATTGAGATTAGGAGATAGAATTAGAAAAGAATATAACTTTTATATTAACAGTGTAAAAGAACTTTCAACATTATTGACAAAACTGCTAAATTTTACAATCTTGTGAGTGGAAAATAGAGTTGCCCTTCAAATTTTACATGGTCCTATCAACATTATTGGCTTCCTCTTCCTTATTCTTAAGTAGTTGCATGCAGACACAGATTCAGTATTTGAATTTTATGGGTTCAAATTTATAATTTTACCACATCTTATCTAGTTTAATGAGTTCAAAATATATTATTTATATATATTTAATATTTTTTTGAATAAAAATACAAAGTATGAGCGATAACTATAGATTCAACTTGGATACGCCTCGAGTTGCATGACATCTTCAATAAGCAACTTGGTATTCAAGAAGGAAGATCCTTCTTCTTTTATTGCCTTTTTTGACATGTGTGCCAATTCCTTTGCTCTTTTTCTTCTTTCTTCACTCTCTAATCCTTTATCCATTAGTTGATCTATTGCTTCTTTCACTTGATCCTTATTAACCAACACACCATTCTTCTCTTCATTCCAAGAATTAATACTCACTTCAACCCCAACTCGAACCCCAATCTTCAAAACATTTACAATGAATTTCTCATTGTAAAATTGCTCGGCAAACATAGGAAAAGTAATCATTGGTACGCCACAAGAAGTTCCTTCCAGAGTCGAATTCCATCCACAATGCGTTAAGAATCCTCCAATAGATGAATGAGATAATATTAAAACTTGTGGGGCCCAACCTCGAATTATCATTCCTCTTCCTTTAACCCTTTTTTCAAAATTTTCATCCCTTAGCCATTTTTCAACTTGTGATGTCAAATTTACCTTTCTAATTATCCAAATGAAAGGCACATTTGATGACTCCAACCCTAATCCAATTTCCTTCATTTGCAAAAATGAAATTTGACAAAGGCTACCAAAACAAGCATAAATGACCGATTTAGGCTTCATAGAATCAAGCCAACTCAAACAATTGTGTTCATCTATAGAGGTCTTGTTTCCTCTATCAACCATTTCATCCATTTCATTGTTACCCAATGATACTGGACCAATACAAAAGACTTTGTTCATTATTTTTTTGTATTCATCAATATACCAAGGCTCCAACTCTTCAAAAGTATTAATCAAAGTACCTCTTGCCAAGTCTTGAGACTGTTTAATTTTGTCAATAATACTCTTCATATCTTGAGATTTATTTGTTGAAGTGCCATTCAACAATATTTGACCTTTTGTGAACTCAATCTTGTGTGGCACATTAGGTATCAAGAATGAATCTGAATCCAACACAAGGGTTTCTTGTATTTTTTCTTGATTTATTATGTGAGAACAAAAGAGAGTGAAACAAGAAACAGTTTGAAATACATACCTTGGAATCTTGAATTTATTGGCAACTTGTTGTGTCCAAATAAGAGGACTAGTTGAAATAATACAACTTGGTTTTGGTTCCAAGTCATGAATCAATTTCTCTAGTGGTTCTTGCATCATCTCACTAGCCAAAAGGAACTCTTTTAATAACTCTAGTGAACTTAGTGTATCTAAATTTTCACATTCTTGAGGCAACCCAACTTCTTGATTTGGGAAATGAAGAGGAATTAATTGGATTTTTAGATTGGATTTTATAGCATGAGTTACTATAGATTTGTACCTTTGGGCATTGAGAGGTGTGGTGATAATAGAGACAGTCACTCCATGTAGGGCTAGTAATTTTGCAAAGTCTGTTAATGGTATAATATGGCTTTGAGACATTAAAGGTATCAAAAGGAAATGAAGTTGTTTAGATAGGGAAGCCATTTTTGGAAAAGCTTTAGTTTGGTTCTGTGTAAAGGGGATAATGTTTTACTGCTATATATAGTGTTGTGGTCAGATTTATAACAAAGAAAAATTGTATTGAGATCGTGTAACAGTCAGTGGTGGAGCCAAAACTAGGGGTATACAAACAAACCGCACCAACCCGATAATTCGAATCAAATCGAGAAAAAAAAATTCGACTATGCTTTGGTTTGGTGTTGGAAAAAAAAAAATCGACCATAATTGGTTTGGTTTGGTTTTTACTAAAGAAAGTCAAACTGAAACCAAACCAACCCGACATTACATATATAGAAATTTTAGATATATTTAATATATAAATATACTTATTGTGATGTAATTTATAAATATTTCTTAAAAAATTTCATAACTTTATCTTTTAAAGTATTATTTCAAGGTTGGACTTAGAACTTTTGAATGTTCCAATAAGTTTTATAGCCATTAATATTAGTAAATTAAATAATGCTAACAAAAGCCCAAAACAAAATCAAATCAATACTAATGCTAACAAAAGAGATTCAATTCAATACTACGAACGAGAATGTATTTAATATCTATTTTTTATTTTGCAATAATTTAGATAAAATGAATAACCTATTTTTATTTTTTCTTTAGCGTTTAATCATGTAATTAATACTCCCTTATTAGTCTACTTATTTTAGCATGGCTTAGCACTTTTAGATTATGTTTATTTTTATTATGGATTTTTAATTAGCAATATTTATATTACATAATTTTATTATTTTTATTGTTAAATATTTTAGGATAATGTCATGACACATCTCATATTTTGTATTATTTTCTTGGAAAATACTTTATATAGTTGTATCTTACTAGAATTAAAGAAATATTTTGAGCACAATTTATATGTTTTGTTCTACGAAGATTTTACCGGAAAAAAAAACCCGAATAACCTGAAAACCGAGAAAAATCGAGAGTGAAAAACCTGAGTTTTATTGGTTTGGTTTGGTCTTTAGATTTAATAACCCGACACAATTGGTTTGGTTTGGTAATTATAAAATCCGAACCAACCCGACCTATGTACACCTCTAGCCAAAACGTTTATAAAGAGGATTTGAAATATTAAAAAGTAAACACACCAACAAGTCAAGGGGATTCAACATATACTATTTATGCATAAGAATAATTTTAACCTTATATATACATTATAATTTTTCAATAAAGGGGATTCAGACAACCTCTTCCGCTTCCGCCACACTAGCTTCGCCCCTTATGATAGTTAGATGTGGACGAAATACATTAGACAAACTTTAATGCCTAGGCAATTTTACGGCTGATTAAGGAAAGAAGATTAAAACAAAGGACAAAAGAGTAGTTAAATATTGTCCTAAGAATTAGGCTCCAAAAAATGATCAAGCACGTTGGATTTATCCTACCTAATGGAGCAATTGTTTTTTTTACCTTTTACTTGCCTAATCACTTTGTTTTATTGTATATAGGTCAAAAGCAGTTGAAAGCTCTAAGCAAACACGTAAATGACAAAAAGAAAATTACCAAAGAAATGAGATGGATATGATCACTTTATTCTTATTTTAGAAAGATCTCGAGTTCAAATTTTAAAAATGAAAAAATTTATAGTAAGATGTAAATCCAATTTACATGCATTAATAAATTTTGGATACTCAATACATAAGAAAAAATAACGAAGAGAAAAAGAAAACAAAAGTAGAATATATAATACTTGCTGTTTGTTACGTAGATAAATTTGACGAGCTCAACTTTTGTAGTTTTTACTAATGAACATCGTTGAGCTTACGATGAATTTAAAATTTAATACTAATTTACATATTCATTCATAGTGCTCTATGTCTATGTTTTCTAGAAAAATCAAGCTATGTAATCTTTTCTAGTTATAATAATATTATTCTTTTAACTAAAATAGAATATCCTACTTATAAAATATTGGGCATAGTTGAATAGGGTGTATGGCCTATAATGCCATAGCAGTCTCTCTTGTATACGTATCTATCAGTCAAACCCACCAAGTTTGACTCACAAGCAAATACTACTTCCTCTGCCCTAATTTATGTGTTATATTTTTTTTAGTGTATTTTAAAAGAAATAAATTTAAAAATAATTTAATTTTAAACTTCTTATTTATTCTAAGTAAAATAATTATAGTCATACAAATAATTTTGACTTGTTTAAGTGCTGAAATATTTTATTAATAAAAAATAGCAGACAGATTTGTATAGAATTGCTTAAACGATAGTAAACAATTGATATCAGTGGCGGACACACGTGGTGAAAAAATAATACTATGTATATGTATAAATTACGATTAAAGCAGTGTTATTTTTTTATAAATATTTTATTTGAACCCACTTGACAATTACTATTTTACGACTAAACTTATGTACTTTTAAGATTAAACCTGCTTGCACAAAATTTTGGGTCCGCCACTGATTCATATTGATACGCTTGATAAAAGTATTGATAAGCTCTTCTCTTATAAATGGCTAAAATACCCTTAATTGCTTTTACGAAAGATTACAACTTTAAAAGTTCCTCGGTAAAGAAAAGAATGATTGACGAATGTAAAATGAATTGAAAAAACTAGGAGTTTTGCTCTGCGAAAGGATTTTTGTGAATTATAAAATACTATTAAAAATAAATTAATAAAAGCTTTAATCAAACTAAAAGTGTCTATTTAATTTGATACTTATAAGCACTTTAAATATTAATCAAAGGTATAGATTTATCAAAATCAATCGATTATCACAATACACACTAGCTTGCACCAAGATTTTACAAGCTTAATTGACGGCAAAATCTATTACGATGATTATTTCTTTATGAAATCAAGAAGACTTTAATATAAAAAACCAAACCAAGAAAATAAAATAAATAAAAACCTATCAGGGACAATGGTTTGGGCAACTGGCCCTCTTTGATTTAGTCGATCTTTTCAGTAGTAAGATGTTGATTCTAAAAAGGAACATTTTTTTTTTTTAATTTCATATTACTCGCTCACACCAATAGTTAGACATTCTTATCGAAGCAAATTTATTAAAGTACATTTCCATTAGGATGGCAAGCGGTGCGGTTGCGGGGCAAAATCACATAAACCCATAAAGATTTTAACCCGCCTCGTCCCGCATAGCATTTTCACCCGCATTCATCCGCCCCACACGCACACCCACGTCCATCCGCCCCACATTGCACTGCATAAGTGTTTTTTTATTTTGCTTTTAAATATATATTTTTTGGCTGAAATTTTCAATTTAATTAACCAAAAATTGAAAGTTCTTTTGTTGCTTATGTACTAAATTCTTCAAAAAAAAAAAAATTAAAAAAATTGTTGAACATTGTGAAAAACGCAAATAACCCCTTATGTATTAATTTAGTATTCATTTTAAAATAGTATTCACATTCCTATAATGCTATTTCTAATGCTCCTAATGACTTGTGTATAACCCAATAATAAAATTAATTTGTTTGAGTCAGCGGAATTGTTTTGACCCTGAAGGAAGTTCAAGGAAAGTAAAAAAAAAGTCTGCTTTGATCAAAAAAATATTAAGCTCAAGTATTATATTTGTCTTTCCAAAACAAAAGTCTATAAAAGACCATAACTTGAAGCTATCATCGAACATAGAAAGAATAAGAAGAAAACTTACTTAAACCCGCAATCCGCCCCGCACCACATCAATTTTTATGAAAAGGTATTTCAACCCGTCTGGCCCCGCATAGCTTTAAACTCACACTGTCCCGCATAGCTTTAAACCCACATCACTCCTACACCCGTACTATCCCATTTGTCATCCCTAATTTCCATGCTGCAATTGAAAAAATTAAATCGGTATATGATGCCGACGACCAATCAAAAATTGAATTTATAGTCTGAGTAAGAATATAATTAACGAACTATATCATTGTTATTGCTAAAAAAAATTCTTTAGCAATTTTATACCTTTTTGTAGTGAAGTCGAGGTGGCCAAACAAAACTAAACACAATACAAAAAAAATCAGGTTAATTAGGGAACAATTTGAATTGATTAAGGAACAAAATCACGATTAAAGGAAAAATGACAAATTTATTTTCTTCTGACTACTACAAAAGAAATGAGCGCAGCCACAAACAAACAGTAGAATATATAATTCTTAGTTTGCTTGTGTTTGCTCTTACATCACCAATTTGTCTATGAAACTGAAATAACCACCATAGGAGAAGCTTCTTCTTCAATTCACAATAAATA